TTATAAAATGCAAAAAAAGGAAAAAGCAGAAAGCGGCAAGTAATTAATTTCACCACCTAGAGACTGTTAATGGCTAATGCTTCACTGGGCGGATAGACCATGCTTTCCTCACAATCCCTAGGGTCTATGGGTCACTGACAGCATATAAGTTTATTTCAGCTAGTATGAAGATAAATATCATTTGGTTTTTTGAGACAGGGTCTTGCTCTGTTGCTCAGGCCAGAGTACAGTGGTGCCGTCATAGCTCATGGCAGCCTCAAACTCCTGGGCTCAAGCAATCCTTCCTCCTCAGCCTTCCAAGTAGCTGGGACTACAGGCACGTGCCACCACACCCAGCTAATTTTTTTATTTTTATTTTTAATAGAGACGTGGTCTTACTACGTTGACCAGGGTGGTCTCAAACTTCTGGGCTCAGTGATCTTCCCCCTTTACCTCCTAAAGTGCAGGATTTCAGGCATAACCCACTGTTTCCAACCCCAATAAATACCTTTAATTTAATAGCTTTGTATTCATTTTAATATATATCAGAAAAAAAAATCTAGCTACTCTATGTATATGTTATGTCAACTCTATGTGTATGTTATGTCATGGACATTATTGCTTAGAATGAGGGTAAATAAAATAGAGTCAATTTCTTTAACACAGATTTTAAAAAGAGTGTTAAGTAAATGTAGAAAAATTGTAGGTTACTAAAATCTGAGAAGCAATGTTCCTAACACTTGTCCTTTTGTTGGACAGTTAGGTAGTTTCCAATGTTTTGCTATAATACACAATGCTGGATGAACGACTCTGTGCATAGCTCTTTGTTTACATATGTGATTATTTCTTTAGCATGGACGCCTAGAGGTAGAGTTCTTAGGGTAAAAGTTGATATTATAAATAGTAGCACTGGTTTTTGCTCCACAACAGTGAAATCTTGGAAAAATACTTTTGTCTCAGTTTCCTAGTGTTTTTGTGAATGAAAAATAAAAAACGTCAACTTTAATTCATAGGATCAATATAGTAATGCAGATCAATTAAATATATACTCAAAGATCTTCAAGCTCTCCAATTATGTATCCAACTCCAGCAGCTACACGCTTGTCAGAAGGAACCGTGCTTTGAGAGCTCCGACAGAGGTAACGGATGCCTCTGGCTCATCGCTTCCTACCCATTTCACCAGAAGAACTGGAGGGGAAAATTCAGGTCACAGGGACAAGGCACAGTGGCCCAACCAAGGCTACACTACACAGGGCAAGCAGGGCAGGTACTAGAAGCTGGAGACTCCAGAGGGAAGTGAAGCTTGGTGTCCAAGGGGTGCCTCGCTCTTGGTCCTGATTGACCAATGGACAACTTTGGGTGATACCAAATAGGACCTAAAAGGGGCAAATGACAGTCAGTACAGATTACCAAGAAATTACTCACAGTTGATGCTCTAGGCAGAAGGCAATTACCTGAAAACCGTATGGGCAGCACACAAGGTTCAGTTGGTTGAAGTGTGAACTAATTTATGAATTTACAAGTAGATTCATTAAGGAAGCTACAAGTGGTAAATGGGATTGACTTAAGTGGGAGAAATCGGTATGAGATAGCAGGGCAACCTGTCAACACAGAATAGAGTAAAATTAACTAGCATATCTGGCTGACAGTTCAAATGACTCCTGAGTGTGGCCTTATTATGTGCTTATCTCCAGCCCAGCCAGCGGTTGTAGATAGCCCATGTGACAGAGATGATGGCTCACTGTTCTCCAGTATCCACTCTCCCGTGGTTCCTTCTGGAACCCCTCTACCTGCTGGAAACATGATCACCCATCTGCAGACCACATTTTCTTGTCTACCTTGCAGCTCTTTGTGACCGGGGGGTTAAGTTTGATCTGATGGGAAGTGAGTAGAAATGAAGATACATTCAATGTCTCTTTTCTGTTTTTCTCCTGTTATTTGGAAAAACTTGTAAGCCAGGTCCTGTCAAGACTCTGTCACCTTGGACCATTCATCACTGCCTTGTTACCTAACCGTCTCAGTCAGTTGGATAGCACTGACTGGGTAATTTACAATAAAAGGGACTTATTTGGCTCATGCTTCTGGAGGCTGGGAAGTTCAAGATCGAGGGGCCTTCTTGTTTATATCATCTCATGGCAGAAGGCAGAAGGGCGAGAGAGGTCACGAGAGAGACAAAAGGGCCAACTCATCCTTTTATAAGCACCCCACTCCTTCAATAACAAACCTACTCCCATAATAATGGCATTAATCCATGCATGAGGGCAGTGCCCCCATGACCCAAAGATCTCCAATTAGATCTTACCTCCCAACACTGTCATCCAGGGGATCAAATTTCCCACAGATGAACTTTGGGGGACACATTCAAACCACAGCATTAAGAGAAAAAACTGTCTTATCTGGGAGATCATGTTACAGCATTATTATTGCATTGTATCTAACTAATGCAATGCAATAACGGCAAGAGCTACTTGTCCGGCACAAAGATCTGCTCATTAGCAGTAGGTTAAGTGTAAGACGTCCCCCATGCCCTCTGAAGCATCCTCTTGCACAAGTGATCACCAACACAATGCTGGATGAGGAAGTGTTAGTGGCTGTGAAACTGGGAAGAGGAGGCAGTTGTTCAGGTCTGATGTTATCAAGGGAAAAATTGTGCCCTCCATAGCCTCAAAATAAAACAAAACCTTTCATTCTGCTTTTTTATCTGGATGAATGACAGGGGCAGGTGGGGAGTTTATTTAGTTCTCTTCCCTCATCTGCAGAAAGAGACATCAAGAAGGCAAAGGTCACACTGCAGGGCAAGCAGAGTGCGGAACATCCTGTCCATTCGAAAACCCACTCTGTAACAGAAAAAAATGCACTTTTTAGTTTCTACTATGTCGTTTTATTCTTGATTTTATCATTGAAACAGCAAGAGAGTAGAAACCTAAAAATATCTACTTGGACTCAGATATTCAGAAAAGCAAACTGATAGGTTGGTAATAATAGCGGGATTCTGGGGCCTCGGAGCAACAGCATGGCCATTCTCTCTGCTTCGTTGCTTAGAGGCAGTTGCTCCCTGCCTTCCCTCCCTGCACCCCTCTTGCCTTCTCTCCAGGCTTGGACATACCCCTCACTCTGTGTAGTGCCATGTCCTTGGATTGGACAACGGTAGTGGCACAATGTTCCAACAGGGACATACCAGGTTCTGAAGTGGGGGAAATGACTGCTTCATACACTCATTTACAATTCCAGTTATGTTAATAATTGATCATTGTAGCAATTACAATTAATAGTTACAATTTCTATAATCAACATTTCTTATTTTGTTTGTAGAAAATGACAAAACGATTTACAGTGCGCTTTTGGAAAAAGGTGATAGACTCATATTTGATTGACAGTTGGACCACGCAAACTTCCTTATCCTGCTAGGTCTCTTTCCAGAGACAGAATGAACTTCTAGCTGTATGTGAACTTTGTTCACTTTGGTATCGCAAACTTTGATGGATTCAACAAGATCAGGTATACCAGAAGAAAAAGGAGTAGGCTGAACATAAGATGGAAAGACAGAAGACACAGGTTCAAGTCTATTACCCATGTGACCATGGCCAGGTAAACATGAAATGTATACTACCCCGCCTCCGATTGTGAATGAATCAAACCTGATCATACGTCAAGAATGAAATAACCTACCAGTGCAACGTGATATTAATTACTTACATTGCTTCTGCCCTGCCTGCTGTTCCATGCATCTGCAGGGCAGTCATTTCCAAGAATTGGAAGTGGCCCTTTTAATTAGGAAAAGCTTTGTCATTTTCATCTTACCACTTTGCTCTTTTTTTTTTTTTTTAAGCTACACTATTTGGTCTGTTTTGCAATTAACATCAAGAGCATATGAGATTTTTACGCTTCTCAAATGTGGATTATTTCCTAAAAAGGCTGTGCAGCATGATTCTAAGATAGAGTTCTTCATATGGCTTTATGATCTGTGAAGTCACTCAAAATTGCTTGTAAAAATGTGTGCTTGGATGTAAATTTTTCTGGAGAGAGGATGTCTTAGTCCTTTTTCTCTTACTACAGCTGAATAACTGAGATTGGGTAATTAATTTAAAAATGAATTTATTTCTTACAGTTCTGGAGGCTGGAAAGTCCAAGGTCAAGAAACTGCATCTAGCGAAGTCCCGAGAGGTGGCACCGGGCTGCATCTAGCGAGGGTCTTCTTGTGGGAACTCGCTGCACAGTCCCGAGGTGGCACCGGGCTGCATCTAGCGAGGGTCTTCTTGTTGTGGGAACTCACTGCACAGTCCCGAGGTGGCACCGGGCTGCATCTAGCGAGGGTCTTCTTGTGGTGGGAACTCGCTGCACAGTCCCGAGGTGGCACCGGGCTGCATCTAGCGAGGGTCTTCTTGTGGTGGGAACTCGCTGCACAGTCCCGAGGTGGCACCGGGCTGCGTCTAGCGAGGGTCTTCTTGTGGTGGGAACTCGCTGCACAGTCCCAAGGTCGCACCGGGCGTTACATGCTAGGGGGCTGAGCATACCAGCTTTGGTCTCCCTTTTTTCTCTTTTAAACGACTAGTGCCGCACCCTCATGATCTTATCTAATCCTGATTACCTCCCAAAAGTCTCGCCTCTCAAATACCATACACAGTTGGATTTCCTACCCGCTTAATATCACTACAATGGGGATTCAGTTTTAAAATGAGATTCCAAGGGGACCAATACTCAAGTTTTGAGGTTTAGCCGAGTATTCTAGCAGTGATTGGAGTTCACACATAGCTGTATGTGTGGGTCTGAGCTCATTGATTGAATTTCTTCATGTAAGTGGGTGCTGGCGTTACATACTATAAATCCTTTGGATGACGGACTAACATATTCACAGACTCTTTTATCAAATGTGGAAAGATTCCGACTATGGAATGTCTCACTTTCATGTGCCACTTCTACAAATGGTGGCCAGACTCAGGACCCTTTCCTGTCTACACACTGTTGCTTGCCTCTTGGTATTGCCTTCATCTTTACTTTCTCCTTCCTCCTTGTTGGTACAGATGCCACACTGATGCCCAGCACCTTCCTCTCCCAGCCCCCGCCTGGGACTTGGCACCCGGATTGGTGCCAGCACCAGCCCATGACTAGACTGTGGTCCAGGCCGGCGAGTCCAGGACGAGAGCATATTTGTCTCCAAACCAGCATCTTCTAATGAAAAGAAACAGCAGTTTAAAATCATCTGATCAAGAGCTGATCCTTCATGTTCCTAGGCACTGGGTGAAGCAGGGAGATGCTCATTAGTGCCTCTGTGCAATACTGGGGATCACTGACTCCCTGAATAGAGTGGCTGCCATCGTAATGGAGAGATTTATCTTTTCATAGGTTTGAACCACAATGACTCAAAACCACTCTGTTTGACAGAAAGACATTCTTCTTTTTAAAGTTGTGCTTGCAACATGGCTATGCGATGCAATATCTTTTGATGTTGATGTTTTAGTTTAATTTGGTTTAGAGTTTCAGCTAAAACATAAACTAAGAGACGTTGGAAAAGACCTTGGTTTGAAAGACCTACCCTCCTCTTCAGTGGACTGGATCTGATGCTCCCTGTTGGTGTGGGAGGAGAGGTTAAACCCGGAGAGTTCACTTCCTACGTGGCTGCAGCCTAGGACTAGTTAACATTTGCACCTCAGCTGTGGGGCACTGATGGGGTGTGACAGGAGAAAGATTCAAGGAGGGAGACGTATTTCCACAAGAAAAGATATTCTTCTCCACCCCTTTAGGGAAAGATACGATATTTCCAACGGGGATACAGAGAAGAAGATGCCTGGGGTGATGGGGCCAACCTGCCAATAGGATAGCTAGCTTAAAAGTCCAGGGATCCCACTTCTGAAGGGTGGATATCTTGTGAGATACAAGGAAAAGTCCAAATTCACTAGAAATATGCCACTTTGTCAACTACAGTAAAACTTGCTTTTGAAATCGGCCTATTCCAAGAGTAAAGAAATTTACGTACACTATACCAATACTGGGAGAGCAAAAGAAATGGGTGACCTCAAGGAGGGGCTATTCTAGTACCTTCTCCTCCAGTAGATGAGAGGCACCAAATATTTAAGGAACTATGCCTTAGAGTTCTAAGCCACGACAGGGAGTCACCACAGGGCCAACCACAGTGAAGGGGGGATTAGAAAGTGACCCTTGATGCTGGGGGAACTTGCTAGAGAGACAGTGAAGCTGTCCCTTCTCGCAGCCCTAGGCAGCTGTTTTTGCTAAGTTGTCTGTAAATCTGTTTCTGATACACCTGCATCACACCCTCAGAGAACTCACCTCATGAGCTGTGGTTGGGATTGCACACAGGATGTCTGCCCGGCAGGAATATCACCGTTTTGACTGCACACCGGGAATTGTAGGGGTGGGAACAAGGAAGAAGACACTGGTGGAGGTGGGAAGGGAATGACATTACTGCAGCTGGGGGCAAGCGAGGAAGAAAAAGGAAGGAGCGTGTCACTGGCTTTCACGCCAGGAGGAAGTCTCCTGAGTTTCAACAGCTCTTTTCCATTACTTTGAGGCCTATGAAATACGAAAGTCCTGGTCGGCGTGGGTCTTGGTGTCAGGCCACATCACTTTACTCTGAGCCAGAAAAGACTCTCTGGAAAAGTACACCAGAGGTGTCCAGCGACAGAGAGGAAAAGAAGCCCCTGTGCCCAGGTCAGCGTGTGGGAAGTGTAAACGGTTGCTGGTTGCTGGAGGCAAACCAACAGCCTTGTTCATTAAGAGATAGAGTAGAAGTAGCTTCTTAAACAAAAAAAAATAGAGTAAGAGAGTGGTCAGAGGCTCTCAGAAAGGCAGTGTCCAGGAGGGTGGCAGGAAAACACGATTCAGCTGTTCACGGGATTGGGAGGAGTCAGGTGAAAGGAGAGTCTGGGAAAGGAGAAAGGGGTGCTGGTGGATCAGAGGGAGAACTCCTCAAGGGGCCTTCTTCCTGGGCTGTGATGGAAAGCCCTACTAGAAACATAAAAATCCAGTTTTTGCCCATTCAGTATGATATTGGCTGTGGGTTTGTCATAAATAGCTCTTATTATTTTGAGGTACATTCCATCAATACCGAATTTATTGAGAGTTTTTAGCATGAAGGGCTGTTGAATTTTGTCAAAAGCCTTTTCTGCATCTATTGAGATAATCATGTGGTTCTTGTCTTTGGTTCTGTTTATATGCTGGATTATGTTGATTGATTTGCGAATGTTGAACCACACTATTCACAATAGCAAAGACTTGGAATCAACCCAAATGTCCATCAGTGACAGATTGGATTAAGAAAATGTGGCACATATACACCATGGAATACTATGCAGCCATAAAAAAGGATGAGTTTGTGTCCTTTGTAGGGACATGGATGCAGCTGGAAACCATCATTCTTAGCAAACTATCACAAGAACAGAAAACCAAACACCGCATGTTCTCACTCATAGGTGGGAACTGAACAATGAGATCACTTGGACTCAGGAAGGGGAACATCACACACTGGGGCCTATCATGGGGAGGGGGGAGGGGGGAGGGACTGCATTGGGAGTTATACCTGATGTAAATGACGAGTTGATGGGTGCAGCACAGCAACATGGCACAAGTATACATATGTAACAAACCTGCACGTTATGCACTTGTACCCTACAACTTAAAGTATAATAATAATAAATAAATTAAAAAAAAAAAAAACATAAAAAAAAAAAGAAACATAAAAATCAGAAGAGCTCGCCCTGAGTGATATATATATAAATAGACTCGCTAATTATTACTGGAAGAGAGCATGACTAATGCAGGAGCAGATGTTTTACAAACTAAAAGGTCACAAACATTTTCAGACTATTGAAGCATTTATTTATGTAGTAAATTTGCATCTGGATTTTGTTGTCCCTGCTTTGATCTCTTTCTCTCACACACGCAGCGAGAGGCTGAGGTTGGAAAGGTAGACTACCCAGGCACCATAGCTGTGATGGAAACAGTCAGAATGGGGCAAAGTCTCCTGAACATGCTTGTTGTTTCAAATCAGAGGAGAATGGAAATCTCCAGGACTGTAAATCACTCAAAACCATCGAATGAAATTGGTTATCTACGCAGTAACTTCAAATAAACGCCTTTTCCCCAGAACGGGGCCAACAAGTTGCAATGATTAATCTTGAGTTACTCTTGGGCTATTCAATAACAATCCCAAGATCTTTTTTGAAAAGTAAATGTCTTTTTCATAGAAGTGGGATCCTGTAGTATTTGTTCTTCTGTGTCTGGCCCATCTCACTTAGCAGAATGTCTTCTAGGATCATCAGTGCTGTCACAAATGGCAGAATTTTCTTCTTTTTTTAAGGCTGAATAATATTCCATTGTATTTAAATACCACATTTTCTTTATCCATTCATCCATCAAAAGATATGATTCCCTATCTTGGCTATTGTGAATATGCTGTGATAAACATAGGAGTGCAGGTATCTCTTCAACACGCTGATTTCAATTCCTTTGGATATATACCCAGTAGCGGGATTGCTGGGTCACATGACAGTTCCATTTTTAATTTTTTGAGGAAACTCCGTGCTGTTTTCCATAATGGTTGTTCCTTTTCCGTTCCTACCAACAGCGTGCAAGGGTTCCAATTTCTCCACATCTTCACCAACATGTCTTTACATATATATACACATACGCACACACATATGACATAGTCACTCTAAGGGATGCGAGATAAATTTCATCATGGTTCTGAGTTCTGATTTGTATTTCCCTGATGAGGAATGTGATATCGACCACCATTTCATACACATGCTGGCCATTTGCATTTCTTCTCTGGAGAAATGCCTATTCAGTGTCTTTGCCCAGCTTTCAATCTGGTTATTTTGTTTCTCTGCTATTGAGTTGTAAAAGTTCCTCATATACTAAGAATATTAATCTTCTATCAAATACATGATTTTCAAATATCTTCTCCCATTCCGTAGGTTGCATTTTCCTTTTGTTGGTTGTTTCCTTTGCCGTGCAGAAGCTTTATAGTTTGATGAAATCCAATGTGCCTACCTTTGCTTTTTTCACCTGGGCTTTTGTGGTCATATTTAGAAAATTATTGCCAAGGCCAAAGTCAGGAAGCTTTTTCTCTGTTTTGTTTTGTGTTTTCCCCTAGGAGTCTTGGTGTCAGGTAAAACTCACAGAAGCAGGGCGTAGAATGGTGATAACCAGGTGCTGGGGACACGAGGAGAGGGGGAGGTATCGGTCAAAAGGTTCGAAGTGTCAGTTCTGCAGGGTGAGTAAGTGCTGGAGATCCACTGTACAGCATGGTGCCTATAGTAACGATACTGCCTTATATACTTAACCATTTCCTAAGAGTGTAGATACTAAGTATTCTTTTTTATTATTGTTAGTAAGGTCAAATTAATTAAGAAAATTTATTGTGAAGTCCATATGAATCTAAGAGTAAATCTAATCTATTAGATTAGAATCTATTTCTACCGCTTTGTTTAAGTACAGCCACCATTTTGAATGTAATCATCCCTTTCACATTATAGATATTTTCCAAACCATATCAATAATTCAGAAAATATCATAGTTAAAATATTATAGCTAGCTGTAACTGGGTGATTGTGATCTGCTCTTGTGGTTACTTTCAATAAAATATAAAATAGCTTTAAGGTGATATTTGAAGGAAAGTTTTTAGGCTAAGTGTTCTCATCAAAATCAATGAATAGGGCGAGAGGAAGCTTTTGAAGGCGATGGATACATTTATGGCATTTACTGCAGTGATGGCTTCATAGCTGCACGTGTATCTCCAAACTCATCAAATTGTGCACATTAAATATGTACAACTTTGTGTTTGTCAATTATGCCTCAGTTAAATATTTTGTAAGCAAGTAGCAAATTTCATACTTTCAGTGGTGGAGCCAATTTTGAAAACAGTTTGGCAGTTTCTTAAAATGTTAAACATAGATTTACCACATGATCCAGCAATTCCACTCCTAAGTATCCATCTACACAAGAGAAATGAAAATATATGACACATATGTCTACACAAAGACCTGTATGCACATGTGCGTAGCAATATTATCTGTCATAACGCAAGAGTGGAAACAACACAAATGTCCATCAACCAGAACTGGGTCAACACAACGTGCTATATCCACACAATGCAAGAGTGCTCAGCCACAGAAAAGAATGAAGTGCTGTTAGGTGCCGTGGCTCACGCCTGTAATCCCAGCACTTTGGGAGGCTGAGGTGGGAGGATCGCTTGAACCCAGGAGTTCGAGCCCAGCCTGCGCAACATAGCAAGACCTTGTCTCTCCTACAAGTAAATAAATAAATAATGAGACTAATGAGAATAAATGAGCCAGGCATGGTGTCAGCCAGGCACTTGTCTGTAGTCCCAGCTACTCGAGAGAATGAGGTAGGAGGATGGCTTGAGGTTGGGAGATTGAGGCCACAGTGAGCTATGATGGCACCACTGCACTTCAGCCTAGGCAACAGAGTGAGATTCTGTCTCAAAAAAAAAAAAAAAATAGTTAACATGAAGGAATCAGATATATGATGCTGAGTGAAAGAAACCAGTTTCAAAATACCACATATTGCATGATTCCATGTGATGCAATTTCCAGAAAAGGCAAATATGTAGAGAGGAAAGTAGATGGGTGGTGGTGGTTGTGCTCGGGGTGGGAGTGGACAGTGGCTGCTCGTGGCACGAGGCCTCTTTCGGGGTGATGGAAATGCTTTAAAACGAGCTTGTGATGGTGACACACAACTCTAAAAACTTGCCGCAGATGAGCCAGTTGTATATTTAAAATGAAATTCTGTGGTATATGAATTATACCTCAATGAAGTTATACATAATATATACACACACACACAAACATCCCCGTTCCAAACCATGTCACCAACCTGCCTTTGCCTCTTTTCTTCCTGGCTTGCATTTGTTCCGCAGAGCCTGCTTAGTAAGGAGCATCCCAGGTTCTGTTCCTGCAGACACGTTCAGACATCTTTGATTCTGGAGGAATTCCCTCAAGTCACACTTTCCTATGTAAGATCACAGATGCCACATGACCAGTTTGGCTTATTTTAAAATGCATTTCAGAAGCATTAAAACCACAAGACACTCGGCAGAAGAACCTTGGCTAGCAAGTCCCTCCCCGTTGCC